TAAATTAAATCCCTTCTTACAATTACAAATCGCAAAAATACTCATGCCTTGGTTGTAAATAATATTGATTTTTTTTTTCCTTAATCCATAAAATAATACACTGGAAGAAATAAATCGTGTACCCACAATAACAAAAAAATACAAGAATCTTCATTTGTCTTCAAATACAACGAAATTTTGGCATACATGGTTTTTCATAAAACATTTAGAAAGACAACTTGTGAAAAATAGTATGACAAAAAATAAAACATTAAATACTGTACAGAAGAAAATGATAAAAATATATAAATTTTAAAATTTATTTTTCATTGCTTATCTCGTTACACTAGAGTTAAAAATATGTATGGAATTTGGCAAAAATGAATTTCTAAAATGGCAGTGTGATGTACATTGATGTACGATTATTTTATGTATTTTAAAGGGGACATGACTCTCTTAAACCATCGCAATTGTAATTTTCAGTTATTTGATGTGTCATTTTACGATGTCTTTCTGTTTTCCTTTTGTCATCACTTGCCGAACTACCAAAGAAACATAAGATATTAAAGAAAGATTATTGATAGATAAGATAATTCCATTATTTTGTTATTGACTTTGAACTGATTTAGTTTGCTAAAAAAAATCTGTGTCTCTTCAGAATATTAAAACATGTCAAATCCTTTTAACACGTTGACTGCCAGACTTTTTTTTAAGGTTCCTTCCCGTGTGCCAAAACAAGTTTACACGTACAAGCATACTTTTTTGAAATTTTATCTAGTCATATATCATCAAAATGATGTGTCTAATAAATTGGTGGGAAATATTAGTGGGCGAGTATACTCGTCGATGATCACCTGTGATAGAACATTTTATTGACTATGCCAAGTGCGAGTTATCTCGTCCGCTTTTTGCATATTCAAAGGGCACCCCCACTTGTGCCGCTTGAATGTACTACCGCCAACATAACACAACAAACATTCATACGTCATTTTTACGTTATCGTCTAGGTGCATCCTCCCCGAACTACCAACCGTTGAGTCTGTGGTTCTACAATGTATAACAAAGAAGTTATAAACGCTAGAATATTACCCCGATTTTGACAAGTATACTTGTCACTGGCGCCCTTAGCAACCCCCCCTGTGGGCGAGTATACTCATCGCTGGCAGCCAACGTTTTAAAGCAATGATGTTTTATTCAAGTTTTATTAGGCAAGGCTTTTCTTATACCTTGTTTTGTGAACCCACCATATGCCAATATTGATGATATCGAATAAAAATTAAATTTTATATTTGGCGAATTAATGCACACTGCCACCACAAAAATATTGAAATTTCAGAAAAAAATTAAAGTTGCTCTTCACTTTTATTATGCCCGTCGCTGCCTTAAAATCTCCGAAAATAAGGTATGTACATTTCCTTTTTAATTATATAAAATTAAAGCATTTAACCATCCCATATTACTACACTGTTTACATTCTCCTCTGTTTGCATGTTTTGGCAAAACCATTTGCTAAATAAAAAAACAAAATTTTATTTTTATTTTATATTTTTTTCCACCTTCATCTGACAGTATTAAAAAAATAAGTTTGCAAAACAAAGTACGGTATAAAAAAATCTCGCTTTACAGACAGTCACTTCGGTGTATATTTAAATTCAAAACTAAAAGTTGTATTCTGCGCTTCGTTATTATTTTTAGTTACAGGTGACATTTTGAGAGAGGTCGTGTCAATCATTTGAGAAACAGTTTCTCCTAGTTTAACTTCATGTTTGTTTTTGGATTAGATCACTTCATGTTTCAGGTTCTAACACTGAAATTATTAGAGTCAATATACATTCTTACTTTGCATTTTAATTTCCTCCCGATCAAATTTCCACTTTCAAGTTCGCTACTGTGTTTACTCCCAGGTTCAATGATTTTCACTTTCAGCTCAAAGTTACTTAAAGTGTATTTATCCCAGCTCTAAAGTAAGCCACTTGTGATTTTGTAGGCCAACGATGTTGACGGTAATCAAGTCTTATTCATGTTAGGCAGAGCTGTTGCTGTGAAACCTTGGATCTTTTCTGGATTGGCTCGAAACTGTTGTACTATCTCCAGTTATTTAAAGGAGAGAATAGGTTTTTAAAGTTGACAAAAGACTCGTGTCAAAATTGCAATTGCTCAACGGCTGAAATGTTGAGTGATTTTATTTTCTCATTGTGACCTATTGTTGTGTATTCCTGATCTTGTTAGACCCTAAATGGATAATCAATTCTTGAATTCAGGTATTTTGTATAATTATCGTTCTGTATTTCTGCCTACAGTACATACTGTACATTTTTATGGTATTTTAGCTGTTGACTGACTTCATGGCTCTTTATTTTGTCACCAACTACATAAGATCAGATTAAAGAATTTCTGTTTATCTAAAATTAAACAAACAATTGTACTTCAAGAAAGATATAAGAAGCAATTTGTTCAATGTAAGTACTTTAACTCTTATATCATCTTCTAAATTTCTGTTTATCTGAAATTAAACAAACAGTTGTACTTCAAGAAAGATATAGGAAGCAATTTGTTCAATGTAAGTACTTTAACTCTTATATCATCTTCATCAGCCTGTCAGGCCACTTTCTGGAAAAGATCACTCCATCCCTTATATAATTAGAAGTATTTTCTGTGCTTGTTAGGGTTTTGTAATTTTAAAAGTAAAAATTGATGAAATAATTTTGACTTATGTACGGTACATCTTTTTCTAATACTTTAGTTTTAAATACCTTATTATTTTATTGTTGTTACCGGTATACTTTTTGATGAGTCAACCAAAGGGTGGTGCTATATAACACCTCTCTGATAAAACCAGGGAGTGGTTATAGTGGTGAAATAAATATTTTATTTTTAACAGTTCTGTTCATGTGAAAAAACGTATCAGACCTTGAAAACAATTGTCACAAACAAGTACCACATCTGACACATGTTTTCTTAACTGAGTGGAAAAAGTTGAGTTCATCAAAACTCTAAGATTCTCAAAGCCTTTATATCATTGTGTATTGTCATTATAACTGGAAAGAATAACAGGCTTTAAATTTTTCCCACCGTATCAGCTCGCCAGGTATCGTCTGGTTTTTTTAAGGTCCTTCTGTTCATGAAACGGTATTTTTGTTTTTTCACAACGTTCCTGTGGTTTGAGATTCTCGACCTTGTCGTACCGATTACCCCAGATCAATATTTCATCATTCCGGTTGAAGGGACTCATTAAGAAGCAGCTGACTTGTTTGTTTACTTCTTTTGTTGACGTTTATTTGATTAGGTGTGCTTTTTGTGTGTTCTTTTGTATTTGCTTGACAGTTTGATGTTAAGTGTGATTTTTTTTTCTTGTTAATTATGAAATTCCAGTAAGAAATTGATTAACTACAACATTATGACATCAAAGTTCCCATGCATAAAAAGTCTAAATTTCATGTAGGCAATCTTTACATTACCGGGGCTTTTTCCCTGGACCCTACTTGCCTTCTTCCTCTGCTAGAACCTTGCCATCTGAATGTATCACACTTTCACAAGGAAAAAGTGGAATAAGATGCTTTTCTTCTTTGTTTTTCATATTTGCAATTCTATGCGGGGTGCACAGACCTGCTATGGTAGGTATCAATAATGCGGACTCAAACACATCAAGAATATGTTTCCCTAGATGGCTGTAAATGCATATTTAAACATTGTTTGGTGGCGTGATAACTTGAAATCAATGAACAAATTACCATTTTAGACAATCAATTACATTTAACTACAATTTATTTTATAGAAATTAGAATACAGAGTTTATTCATGTCATATGCATGAGCCAGAAATGCATGACTTTTAACTAAATTTTATATATATGCAGACAGGACCGCAGAAATGCAGATGGGAGTGCAGGACAACAATTTTTTGCGCGACTTCCATGCTGAATGCTTGAAACTTGGCAAGAATGTTTCCTCTCTGCATTAGCCACTGTAAAATATTTGCAGTTGGATTTCAATGAAGGGGAGAACAAATTCAAGAAATCAGCAAATTTGTAACTTCCTTCTTTTGACAATTCAAATTCTTAGCCTATTAAAGGTGATTATACTCTTATTATTAGAAAAGGTAACATTTGTCCTAGTTCTACTAGTCCTTAGGCTAATGATTTAGTAAACCACTAACCTCATTATGAATGTACTAGCCCTGGGCAATTGATTTACATATAATTGGCAACTGGCTTACTTTTGTATTTGCTTAACACATTTATTTTGTTGAACAACTGATTTGTTGATCACATAAACTCATTTTAGGTAAATACATTTATATTATCCTAAAATAAATAGAAAATAAAATATTTAAAAATTCCTAATTAATTAGGGACATACCTCACCTATTGTTAATTTTGACTAATGTACCTTAATTAAATGTACAAATTAGTATGAATACTGTTCAGAACAAAAAAAAATGTGTGTAAAATGTTTTACCAAGATTTTTAATATTTTTTATTTTTTTTTATTTTAGTGCTTCTACCATACAAGCAACACACAAAACAACATAAGACAAATAAAGAGGGAGGCTGAAAAGGAGCAAAACTGTATCACAAAAAATTATGTGCCCTCCAACAAATCATAATTTATTGTACTTAAAATAGAAAATAATAATAATAATAATGACAATTTTGTGATAGTGGATTCATCCAAATTCATGTTTCAGCCAATCACCTATCTCGTACTATAAATTTTATCAAAGACATGTGACAAAACAAATTTCATTTCAGATACTGTACTACTACTGTCAGTTCATTTTTTTTATATCTATTCATCCTTTATGCTGAAATTCCATGACACAATAGTTACAAATTCATAACATTACATAATTCTACTACACACAGTAGTAGTAGTAGTAGTAAGGGTAGACCCAGCAAAATCAATATCCACACTACGGATGTGATTGGTTTAGCAGACAACATTGGCCATTCATAGCAGACGACGCTTCTGTACTTATTAAAAAGGATCAATATACTCTGGTCAGACTCATTATGCTTATACAGTGTTGTAGGTATTTTCCCTGACAGTTGTCACTAGCAGCTTTTTCACTGACAAACCCATATGATGATTAGTTTCCTAATGAAAAACCAAACGGAATGGCTGCCCTAATTGGAGAGGATTTAAGTTACGAGGTAGGAACGATGTGCTCCATTTTTTTGCCATTCAATATTTGTATGTCAAGTGTGTATGAAAATAGGTGTTGTTAATGGCAGTCTGTGCATATTTACATGACAGCAGTGCCTACCCTACTCAGCCAAGTGTTACGCTGCGCATCGTGACAGCAAATGCAATCATTTTCCTGATCATGGATCACACACTAGATCTCAACGGCCATAGCCCTGCAGATAAAACCGTCTTTTTATCCAAACGTTCTTGACTGCAGTGTATGTACAGTCTTCTGATTGTTTGTGTTATATTGGTTTTTAGCAAAAAACAACAACCAGATTTTCATGTGAGTTAATTCATCTGAATGTTTGTTTGTTCCGCACCAAAAGACAAGCACTATCACTATGATAATAGAGACTGTATTCTGATATTAATGCATGATTTGAAACATGTAGGTGTAGTTGAGACTGTTACTCATATTTTTCTTCCATATAAAAAAAATCTTTTTTAACGAAACATATTTAAGAACTTATGATAGTACATTTCCCTGATTGTCACATAGATCCATTTAAGGTTATAATAAATGGCAGATTAAATGTCGCTATTTTTGGAATGGTAATTATTCATAAAATTGGTGACATATGATTTATTAATGGTTCGAAATCGAATAATAATATCTAATGCTAAACTAAAATCTAACTGAAGTTCTGCTCAAAACCGATATAAATCGACTGGGATTATAACTGCATATTTTTAAGCTATTCTGTTGCTTCTGTTTTTTGATCAAGCCTCCACATGGACTTACATTATGGATGATGTCATTGCTAAAAATAGATCAGTTTAAGACTGAGGTATATTTTGTATTATTAATGCAAATTCTATGAATATAAGTGTTGTTCAGGTTTGGCGAGACTTTTACAATACCATTTAAAGATCGTCAGGGCGTAAAAAATAAAAATAAATTTTTGTTTTCTCATTTGTATAAATGATTTTGCCAAAAGCATCCAAGTCACAGGTTGGCAAAGCGATTTTTTTGGGGCCCGCAGAAATGAATTGCAAACCCTATGTGTACGACTCCCCAACCATCTTTGGCTAGAAAACACCTTGTTTAAACAGCGATAGTAAATGTGAGCATAACGTACGTACGTGAACCATAAAACAGGGTATGAAGGTTTTTGGAAGTGCACTGAAACATCAAAGTTTGGGTTCGGAGTTGAATCAAAAATTTGCTTTGGACCTCAAACAAATTTTAATGCCTATCCCTGATCTAAAGTGGAGCAGAAAATAAAAATAAAATTGTATTGATGAATGTTTTATTTATTTATTTAATTTTTTTTATTTGAACCATATTTAATGAGGGTGATCCATCCAGCAGAAGCTGATCATTAGGGACCCTCAATAAGAATAAATATTATATAATTAAGGAACAAATATATTATTTGGCAATTTCAGGGGAGTGGAGGGCATATTAAAAATTCATTTTTTTTCTGAAATTTTCATTTTTTGTACGGAGGGTGAACTAACTAGCCAAATATAAAATTATATTTTTATTTCGAAATTGCCATTATTGGCAGTTGGATGGTTCGTAACAAGATTTTAAAAAATCTCACCTACCTGTGTGTTGTTATGCTGCTGCATTAATTGATAATGGGCGTGATGTTAATGTTGATGAAACAATAATTGTTCAATAAATATGTGTTGACTAAAATATTTTTGTTATTGATGATGATAATGGTAATATTTATATAATTCACACACACACACACAAATAAAATAGATTAAATTAAATTATATGATTTTTATACTATCCATTGCCAATTCATTTATTTTTGTGTTCTTTATATTTATTAATGCAATATTAAAACATATTTGGAAATTTCTACCCAGGTAGAAACATATCATGTATGTATATGACAAATATAATGAATTTGCATCTGATCTGGGAATTCCAGATAATGCATAATGCAAATATAAAATGCTACATAACATAAGAATGAGTAGTTTGAACATTTAAAGCTATTGGTTATAAAATGAATTGTATAGGTTTGTGACATCATTGATCTATTAATAGATTATGAGGTAATTGCGCTTACACGTTGCTTCGTTTCATGATTAATATCAGGATATGTCGTTCATACAAGAATATGATGATTACCAATGCATTATAGAATTTGCAGAATAATTTTGTCAAAGCTTTTCAGGTATACCATATGTTATACCTGTGATATAAGCAATTATAATTATATCATATATAATTAGAAATAACAATTTGTATAAATGGGTTATACTTAATAATAATATTGATTTTAGTAATAGGTTTTCAATATAGCGCCCTGTAATCATGCTTCTTCAAATATGGTTTTATTTCTTGTTTTGTTATGGTATTGTAAAATGACTATAGAAATAAGTATTGATACCCTAAACACATAATTATAATATTCTGCATACCTTCACTTGTGAAAGCAGCTCTATTCCTCACTCAGTCGATGAGTTCCCCCCTCCCTAAACTTAATAACTTACTTTAAATAGTTGGTGATGCAATCATCAGGACAGAGCTTTGTCTGTCTGATGGCCACTTGTCTTTCCATGAAAGTCTTCTAACATTAATGATAATAATAATAATAATTAAATTTGATATTATTTATTTGGCTAGTACACCACAGGTTTAATTTTAGTTTTCGTTGATTTACAGACGTTTTACTATAGACAATCTTAAATTGATTGGCAACCAGTGTAAGTATTTATGCCAAGAATAAAGGAAAGATATTCATGTACAGGGAAATAGACTGGTTTCAGCCTGGGGGTGGGGAGGGGGATGTGAAAAATGACAATGCAGAAATCTCAGAATCAGAACTAAACTAAAATCTAAACTAAATCCCTATTCCAATGAAGATTTAATGGTAATTTTTAGTATTTTAACCCACTTAGTTGAACTAACTTGCTGCCATTGGGGTGGAGAGGGGGTGGGGGCATGCAAGCCTACACCCATGAAGTTTTAATTGGTGAGTCAAATACATTCTTTTTTTAAATTTTCAATTGAATGCTAATTATATATTTATATATACAAAGTAAGCATTTCTAATATTGAATTCTGTTCGTCAAGTGCATTAGCTCATTACAGACTGTACCTCAAAGTACAGACGGATGTTAATTGGTTTTAGAGGAGGCAGAGGCAAAGGAGGTAGTTCTTTAATTCTCCAAGCCTTTGGAAAGTACAAAATGGCCGCAGATATGACAGATGTGTTGCCTTTGCTAAAGGCTTAAGTATCAATAGATTTTTCAAACAAACTCTGCAACTAATAATAATAATAATAATAATAATAATAATAATATGAATGATGTTTGCCCTAGAGTACCTGATGTTGATTGTACTGAATGCTCAATACGTACCCAAATGCTTGTGAAAAAATTTGTGCAAGTGATTCGGGTGGGAATTGATCCCATGACCTCCAGATAACTAGCCTGGTGTCTTAGCCACTAGACCACCGAGCTACCACTTGGCCAGTGATACATCTGATCCCCAAGTAGTAGCAGGTACTGCAATGCTATTCCGACGCCATCAGAATAATAATAATAATACAGGAATTTATGCCGTACGTTTTGCCAAGGGATACGAGCCGCAATAAAAATAAATAAATAAATAAGGTCAAATTTAAGAAGACAAATTTTAACCATTTTTCCAGCTTTATACTGGATATTAATTTTGATAGGCACAGTATTTGAAAATTTACTACTTGTAGAAATACGAATATTTTAACGATGAAAACCTTATTATAAATGAAAAGCTCATTATCTCTTTACAGATTTAATTATCATTCGTTTATCTGCATGTCATTTGCATATATTAACATAATAATTCAATTAGTATCTCAGTTATATTTTTTATAAAACTAGTGGTGTATTTAGGAGAGCACATGCCCTCCAAAAATTTTTGCCCCCACCTCTCTACAATTGAAAATGTTTGAAAGAAAAGAAAATCACCTTAACATCGAACCCACACTTTACCTTAGTGCCATCCCAGTCCCCCTCCCCCTTTTCATTTCAATACTCATAGATACAGCACTATAATTACTTGAGTTTGTAGAAGCGAGTGACAGGAACTTTTAGTCAAACTCTTCATGGCCTGACCCTAGGCAGTGTAAATAAATCGGCTGATAATGTTAACAAAAAATGTAGCATGAACATTCTTGCAGATTAACAGTTTTGCCATTTATTTATTTTTAGTTACTACGGTTACCATGACGCATCCTTTACAAATGCTTTCCTTTTCGTCATCCTTCCTCCTTGAAGAACTCAATCTTGGTTGGCACTAATCAATGCACAGATTTTAACAACAGATTTGTTGCATGGTAACCATTCAAATAAAAAATCTGGAGAAAAAAAATTATTAATACAAATAACTTTCGATTTTGAAAGCCCTTATTTTAATAATAATGAAAATAATAATAATAAAAATAATAATAATAAAAATTAATAATAATATAATAATATGAAATAATGATAATTTTTAATGTGTCTGTTTAAAAAATGGATGATATCATATAGGTAAAATTTTAAGTGGGCATATACCATACTATATGGCAAGACAGTTTTATACCTTGTTCAGAGAAAACTCTTTCAAGAGGAGGAGAAAGTAAAATTTCTAGATGATTAGGAAGTTGCGAGTGTGTGAGGGAAAAAATCTATGAAGGCAACACTTAGGCTCTTGCTTAAAAATAATGTGTGGTTGTATAAATAATGTGATGTTGCGATGTAAACAGTTCATTCATTGGATTGATAAATGACTTGTACTATGTAATTGTGAGGATAAGACTGTTGTATACATAATGTGATGTTGAGATGTAAACAAGTTCATTAATTGGATTGATAAATGATTTGTACTTATGTAATTATGAGGAAGAATAATGATTTTATATTGGGCATTTTCAGTATAGTGGTGGTGGCATGATAAAAATAAAGGTAATGTTATATTCGACTGAGTATGATGTCAGTTTTCAACTTCGTATTAAAATAGTAATATTTATGC